AGGTTATAGGTTTAAAGGGTTTGTAGGTTAGGCTGGGGTGTGCGTACCTTACTGTTCCCTGCCTCCAGAGTTCCGCCTGAACTCCGGTAGTGCTCCCGCAATCGCCTTGTTATTGGTCACGTCTAGTTTATGCTATGGATTTGTCTTGCCCTTAAAGTTAGCAAAACCAATGTTATCTTAGTTAAAAAAAAACATCATGAGATATCTATGGTTGAAGAGATAGGTATTCGAGAGGATAAAACAAAGGTAAGAATGGAGAAGGATGGAGGAGGTAGGCACTATAATAATGTTTTTCTCCTCTTCAGTGCCCCATACTTTCTCTTCATCTCTGACCTCACATGATGTCAAAAAATAATAATAATAAAATAATAACAACTATAATAATATTAATAATAAAACGGATTCACCCGACTATGCAACTTTGCAGTTCTCGGGGCTCGATCCCCAGGTCTGCGTATAGTACAGTTTGTCTTATGTGAGCCTGAACCCGGGCGTATCCCTGACCAAGCTCTAGTCTCTGAGTTTTCTGAGTGAGCGCTTCGCATCATCCATATCCCTATCTGTTTGCATCCATGCCATGTCAAAGAAAGGCAAGTTTAATTGCAATAACAATAATAATAATAATAGTAATAATAATAGCAATAATAATAATAGTAATATATGAAAAGTGGGTAACGGGAACATAACAGATTCCAAATTTGCAAAATCACACTTGAGGTTCAGTAGTTCATCGCTGTCTAGAAAGCAAGATTGCATTGTCTTTGCATCAATGGTGTTGAACCTTACTATCTGCGAATGCCGACTTTCGTCATCACCAACCCAAGTATCAAAGCCCATCCTCCTACTTGGCGCCTAGCCTACTCTTACGCAACTTTACTATCCTACGAATTGACAATGCCTCTGTCGGCGTCAACAGTAGAACCGAAGTACATGGCGATGTCGACCCATGCAGACCATCGCCAATACTAGGTACAAACCCTTACATCATCAACCTCACGCGGTTTCTCCCTTACTCACGTACATACATACACACTGACATAGGTCGAGGGATCACACGAAATCCACACTGGAGACTAGAGATATAGAGTATGGATATGCTCAGTCCCAACAGGTTACTATAGTTTTCAGGGATCAGTCACTAAGTGCTCAGAAGCGTACATCACAGTAACTCAAATACCAATACCCGCATCAAAGGCAGACAACCCTCCTCTTTATCTGTGCCTGTCTGTCTGACTGTTTGTATGCATGTGTCTGTCTATCTGAATCAATTTGTATGACCATCTGTGTCTGTTTGGCTGATTGATCTGTTTTCTGTCTGTATCTGTTTGGTCGATTGTCTGTGTCTGGACTGTGTGTATGCCTGTCCATTCTTATTTGTATCTATTTGTCTGTTTGTATCTGTATGTCTATCTGTTTGTTTATATCAGACTGTCTGTCCGCCTTTCTCTGTGTCTGTTTTGTTTGTTCGACTATTTGTACTTGTCTGTATCCGTATCTTCTCTTTTTTTTTTCTCTCTCTCTAGTGTAAGGAAAATGAACAATAACGAGATGACAATATTCAGATTGCACAATGGTATTGATAGCCAGATCGTGACACAGTGTTCAGAGACCAACATTACACCAATATGTCACCAAATGAAAAATCGTAACACTGAAAACCAATGTCAAAGAGAGCTCGCTCTCGCCACCACCATCATATGTGCCCAGACCCTTCTCCTTATTTGGCGTTCAGTGCCCAGTCTGTTGTCTACGCAACTACTAACAGCCCACAGATTGACAATACAACTGTAAATTTCTGCAGCAATATCGAAATACTTGGAGACACCGACCCTTGTAGACTATCATGAAGACTAGGTACGTGCCCTCATATCATCATCCTCATCATTCTCCCTCCCTCTCTCCCCCATACACACACACATATACACACACATAAATACACAGGTTGGACGCACTTGGCTGTGTGGATGTGCAAGTTGGGTTTTTATGACTATGTAAGACGAGCTTCTCAGTCTTACTGTCGTTCTTATCAGGGTTCGAATCGTCAGTCTGCTTGTAATTAACAGAGTTTGGTGTGATCAAATTCGATCATTTTTCTTAGGAGTATCGCTAACTTTGGGCGACGTGACGAGTTCCTACCCAAAGGGGCCCCCAGCTATCTCGAACTTATATTCCAACAAATCGGGTATATGATAGCCCCGTCCTTACGATCATACTGCCGGAATCCCCGCTTCATTCAGGTAAGTTTGAACCTCTTTAATAATATTTAACAATAATAATAGTAATAATAACCATAGACGATCAGTGACATATGAAAATAGCAACCACAACAATAATTAATAGTCGTAATAATTGTGGATGTATGTCCTTCATCATTTTTCGACGGTCAATCTTCCTCTTTTCATCGGTGAAAGTATCATGAACCACCCACGCGATTCACACGTGTATTTCTCATACACACACTCACATATATTCACACAAACAAATCAAACAAATATAGCAGTGTATACTTCCAGTGTTTTAGCCATAGGTTAATCCTAATTTGCTCATCCTATCGTTAGAAGTAACAAGAAGTCAGCCATGTGATTAAAGACTTACATGTTTGCTCTCTCTTCTCCTTCTAACACACACACATACTCTCACCCACACACATTTGCCCACACCAATGTAGTAGTGTATACTTCCTTTTTCCAGCGTTAGATTCATTCGATTTCACTTGTCCGACCGATCGAAGTGCCATGTGATCCACCACGGGATTGGGAACTTACATACTTTTTTTTTCTCTTCCACACACTCTCTTACATATACACACACACACACATAGTCTCGGTAGTGTTTTTTTTTTTTTTTTGCGGTAGATTCATTTGATTTCATTCATCCTACCGGTAGAAGTAGCATGAAGGTTAGTCGCATGCTTAAAGACCTACTTGTTTTCCTCTCCCTTGCTCCCTCTTCGTCGTCGTGGTCGTCGTCGTTTGCTAAGTGTCTCCTCACTAAGTCGCGACACCTCCTATCTGCGACGCAACACGATCTGCTATAGCGAGTAGCGTACCAAGACCAGTCCGTGGGGCACGCGTAAGGCACAAGCGTATTCAACAAGTAGGGCTGATGACAGATCCGACTTCACGATGCTGCCGTGGAAGCTCTTTGGCCATAAAAAAAATAAAAAATTGACTCGCCTTTCTTACACGAAGTGAGAACACATCAAAAGCATGTGCAGAGGCTCCCTCGTAACTCAAATACAAGGTCCCAAATTCCACGCCCGGAATATCGCCCTCGTCAACTGCTCATTAGGTAAGCCTCTTTCCTCCTTTCTCCTTCTTTTTCTCCTTCTTTTTTTTTGCTCTTCTTCTTTTCCTTCATGCACTCCCCTCTTTTACCTCACTCTCTTGTTTGTACTCACAGTTGCTGCTCTACCAGCTAGTGGTCGCATTCGCCTAATCATTCCTGCTAGCTTACTTCCACAGTACCACGCTCGTCACACTCTTTCCGTTTCTCGCTCACTCTCACCCATATGTTGCGCTTGCGTGCTGGTTCTCGCTTGAGTTGTCGATGTTCTCCCTTGTCTACGTGAAATCCCTTTCTCACTTTCGTCGGGGCGGACTCCTTAGTTGTTTTTCCCGCTGCCCCCTTTTGCATGAACCTGATCTTATTTCGTGGGAAAAGAGGTCAACCTTCCCACCGATATCCGGCTCAATAGTTCGTGCAAAATCTCGGTGTCGGGGCAAATACCCAGACAAGGGTATTTGCCGGGGATTTTCAATGTCGGACACTGTCCGGCGCTTTCGTTGAATTCAAGGACTTGATGAGACTGACGCTGCCAAAGTTTATTCAAACCAACCCTATGATCGAGAGATTTAAATTTTTAGAACTTAACGTCATTGACGTCCGACCAAAATAGTGGTATTCGGCAGTACAACCTATCATCAACAGGTCTTGACAAGGCCACAGGGGCATACGGTCGTGGGAATGCTAAGACTGGACTTATTTTACGTGGGAAATAATAATAATGCGCGGCCACGACCGTGCGATTTAGGGCCTTAGAAGGCTGAATAGGTGGTCGCGTCGTGTACGTGGTCGTGGCATGCGTGTCGAGCCACCAGGCGGCGGCCGTCTTGGCGACAGCGTGGCTGGCCAGCGGCTGCGGTTGTTGGAGTATAGGCCATAAGCGATACCGCGCTGGGCTAACCTCTTCATAAGGAAGAGCTGCTCCTATTTCAGCGTGAAAAAGGAGCTAGCCCAGTTTGGAGCAGCCCAGCCTTTTGGCGCGGTCGTTTTCGGCCGTACGATCGATCAGATCACGCAGCTGAAAAACAACCGCGCGAAGATTAGCATGGCCCCTGCGCAAGGATGACACGTATAAATCAAGAAATGGGCTATATATCTTTATTTTTTATTGCTTAGATCCCCCCCCCCCCCTCTCTCGAATTGCCAAAGGTCTTTGCCCCCGTTCATTTAAGCAAACGGGTTGCACAAACGAAAGAAAACGGCAGAGTATCTATCCCGCTTCTAGCGAAAAATTCACCCTCATTTTGCATATTTAGTGAGAAGAGGGGTGGGGTCCGTTTTCGTGAGGTTGCCCCCTGATTGCATGTGTATTATAATGGTTCGTGACTTCTCAACAACACCAAGAAGTGCCCTGCCTTGTTGGTAAGGTCTGGAGATAGAGGTGACAGGCAGAAGCTAGGACTCGAACTTGAGTTTGTGTTTTAACAGTTCATGGGGTGCCAATGGCCCACGGGCAAGGCCCTGCCTCGTTGGCAGAGAAATGCAAGAAGAAAAAGGGAAAAA